CATTATGTAAAGGTGTAAATTTCCAATGATGAATGTCATTATATTGTATACCTAAAATGTACCAAAAAATAAATTTTTTTTAAAAAACAGGAAGTTTCTAATTCATTTACTTCTAAATTCTAATTCCCTGTCAATCAATGAAAATCTGTTCAGTAGCTTAACACTCTACAAGACATTCTAGCCATATGTTAAGCCTTGGTTACCATTCGCTAATAAAGATTTTGATGGTGTTGAGGCTATTTTGTACACAATCAGTTGGCCACTTTTAGCAGGAAATTGTAATATTTGTATAGTTTTACTTCATAGTCACCTCTGCCTTCAGAGGAAACTGAATGTCTTTTCAAAATCCTTCTTTCACCTGAAGAACAGCCCTTGTAATAGATCTCCTCCCCTGTTATCATCAAAGCACTGAGCTCCATCTAATGCAAGTTTCCCGTTTTATCTACTCATTCAGTAAATATTTACTGACAATCTATCATGTGTCAGGCACTCTGTTAAGGGATGGTAATGTAAAGATGAGCAAAACAAACATGGACATAATGATTTATAGGAGAGATGGACAATTGAATCTTCAAAAATGCTCTGTGATTGGTTTGCTTTTTTCTTGCCAGCTGAGTGCATCATCCTCTACTTCCTAAGTGACCTGAAGACAATGGAGAAATGATGCTTATTGTCTTTCATAGAGACTTGGACTGTTCTATGGCAATAGTTGACCAATACAGTGTTCTTGACAGTTTTAAAGAGTTGATTTGCACAAACAGTGACCCAGGAAAATAAATGACAAAAGACCTACTTCTCTTGTCTCCTTTTGCTATCCTTACAGAACTAAAAACCAAAGAAAGACTTTTAATGTAGCTTGTGTACATGAATTACCTTGGGCAGAGGATTGAGAGGTGGGGTGTAGATCTGGGGATGTCTCTCTCAGAGACCTAAAAGCTGAGTAAGAGTTAACTAGTAAGAAGGGCAACCTGTAGCTAAGGCAAAAATATAGCATGTGCAAAGAGCCTTGGAGGGAGACAGCTGGGTATCTCTGAAAAACAGAGAGGCCAATATGGCAGGAAGGTGGGGAACAAAGGGAACTGGTCAATAATGAGAGAGAAAAGGTAGACAAGGGCCTGTGTTGTGACTCCTTATAGGTCATGTAAATTATTTTACTCCATAAATTAAGAAAGTTTTTCAGCAAGGACAGTGGCCAAGATATTTTTATTTGTGTTTTTAAAAAGGCAGTTCTAGCTGCTGGGCCAATAATAGATGGGAAGTGAGATGAGAGATTATGGGGTGGCAGGTTAGGAAGTCATTATAGTTTCTATTCTTAAATATTGAATTGTTGCTGCGGAGCCAAGTGACTGCTCCAGCTACCTGCAGCTTGAAGGTATTATGAATGCGTGGGGAGGGGCAGTTAGGCAAAAAATCAGCATAGAAATAATAATTGTTTCAAATGCAGGCAGAAATGTGGCCTGAAAGAGGAAAAGGGGGGAAACAGTCTTTTCCAGTGGGAGAGACCTGAGTCAGCAAATAGTTTCCCAGCAAGTCACCAAGTGATTAAGGAGGGCTGCTCTGCTTCAGAGGAACGCACCTGTCCACAGGGGCCTGAAAGTGATGACGCAGAGCCTCTGAAGTTCTGCCACTCGCCTTCCTTCCTGGGCTTGGTTGAAGGATGCTTTTCATTTGCTTTTTCTGTTTGGCTCCCCAGGAATAAGCAGAGCAGAGGGAAGTTTCCAGGAGCTCCAGTTAAAAAATTCAAGACACATTCCTTCTCTGGCCTCCATCCTCCGCTGCTGCCATTGCCGCCGCCGCCGCCGCCGCCGCTGTTCTCTCGTTGCTCCTTGATGGCCTGGTCACGAGAAAAATCTGCAGGGCCTCTGGGACCTTCACAGCGTCTGCTTAGCAATCACTCCTGAGCTTTCCAGTAATTGACTGGCAACAGGAGGGAGAACAGAAACTGGGAAACTGGCAGTTTCTCCGATTCCTCCTTCCCCTCCTGCCTCTCTCTGCGTTTATCTCTGTCCACCTTCTCTGTGTTCGCCCCCTGGCCACCCCCTCCTCCTGCTCTATTTGCCTTTCAAGTAATAATCCATTTCTCTCCAGTTTCCTGAATGTGATAATCTCTGTCAGACTCAAGAGACAATCAAGTTAATGAAATTCCTGTCAATAAAAAGAGGACATTTATTAAATGGAAATTATGTTTAAAGATGGCAGAGAACATCACTTAAGGCTAAGGCTGAGAAGAATTAAGAAATTATTCTGGGGAATGTTTTGTTTGGGAGGATTTGTATGAAGCAGCAGGCAGAGACTCTGCTTGGTGGAGCAGGGGGAAGTTTAGGCTGGATACTGCTTATGCTACAGGTCGGGGTAAGGGTGTGACCTTAGAAAGATGACTTAATCTCTCTCTACCTCCATTTCTTCATACACAAAGTGGGAATATTTATAATACCTTATAAAGTTGCCATATAACTGGAATGATTTACATTACATACTCAACACAATGGCCAGCATACAGCAAGCATATTCAAAACGTTTGCTTGTGCCATTGGCCTAAAACGAGGTCAGTGCAAATATAATTAATGTCATTTCACAAATTATAAGATTAATGAGGCTCCTTTCAGAAAGGGAAACAAAATGAGAATTCAGTTCTTGTTTAGATTATACGTTCAAAAGAAAAATGAGAGTAATGTAGAAGCCACAGATTAGAATGTAAATGCTTTAATGATTTCACTTAATAGTTGAAAGGCTTGAAATAAAATAAAGTTGTTGTTGATGATGATGATGACATCAAATTTACTGAACTTAACATACAACCCCCTCCCCACCTCCACCAGAATGACTGATCATTCCATTTTCCTAGGAACCTCCTGAAAGGCTCTATAGAAACATAAAATGTGGCACATATTGGCTACTCCAGTCTGATTTCCAACACCAAGTAGAAATACTGCCTTTCAGAAATGATTTAGTTATTCTGGGAGTAGCTGAAAGACAGCAAAGGTGATAGGAATCTTTCAGAGCAGGCTGAGTCTTGCTCCTGATGTGTCTCCTGGGCCCATTACAGCGGTTGTACACAAGCCTGTTATATGGAGATTCAGCACTCAGAAGGTGGCATACGAATGACCATCAAAATACTAGGTGAACATGAACACAGGAGAGCAGTGTGCTTAGCAGAATGTGCACACACACACACACAATAATAATTGAACACACACTGTGTATAGTTGTAGCTAAAACTTATCTCATTTTATCTTCACAACAATCAGGATAATTACTTATCCCAAGTGTATAGAAAAGGAAACTGAGATGTATACATGCTAAATAGATTCTCATGCAACTCATAAATATTTGAGCCAACATTCAAACTCAAACTATCTCCAACATGGGTGTGCTTTATGAGTGATTATAAAATGAAAGGAAGATGGGTGAAATTTAAATGAAGTATTGTTGAAGTTATCTGGAAACACTAAAGTATGACTTTGGCAAAAGATAGAGATATATAGAATCTGTTTTCTGACATAAAAGTATTGTAACAGTATATTGGTTAGCTTTGGCTGCATGACAAAGCACATTGAAACTCAGTGACATTAATCCAGTGAGTATTTATTATTACTCATGCATTTGTAGCTCAGCTGATATTCTTCTGATCCTGGCTATATGAGAATGACAGTTCTACTCTGCACAAAGGCTCTAGGACTGGCTGGGGCAGTTTTGCTTCTGACTATGGTGGTGGGGATGGTTATGCTCCACAAGAATCCTGCCTTTTTCCTGGGAGCAGGAGACAGCTGGAGTATGCTCACACGATGATAGCAGAACTGCACCAGGGCTTGTGAAACATCTGGGCTGTTTACTTGGCCGCACTAGAATTCAAGAGGTGAAGGAACTTTGGTTATACAGTTAAGGCAAAATAAATGATGTACGACTTCGTGTGATTAAAGATGCATAACCACTGTGCATGGCATAGATTAAAATACTCATCACAAAGATTAAACTTTATGCAGCTACAAAATTGTAAAGAAGCCCACGTGAGATTGTGACCTCTATCTCAGAATTTTGAGCTGAAGTTTTCAGGGTTAGGATTTTGGAAGGAAAGTTAGACATTACATGGATGAAGGCAAGGACCAACTTAAAGCCACATCATTCTCAAGCTGTCCACAATACAAAGACATGAGTGACTCGTAGGAGAAGATGGTACCCTTGCTGGTGTGGGTGAGGAGCTGCTCACAAGGTGCAGGACAGAAAAGAGGATTTCCAGCAGGAGCTGGAGGAGCTACAGAGCTGACTGGCTGGCTGCTGCCCTGAGCCGACAAGGAGAACCAGCCAGGCCAGTCAGAAGGAATGTGCATAGCTGCAGTGGTGGGGCCCTCCACCTAGCTTCAGAACAAAAAAATGGCTGCTGCATGTTCCTACTCCAAAGCCTGCATATATTTCCCTTGTAACAAACTTGATCCAGAACCAGAGAAAAACATTTTGGGAAATGTAGTTCCAGTTTAGTTGAGCTGACCCAACAAAGTTGCTACATATGAAAACAGCATATGAGCTGAAGGAGGAATAAAATATTTGGGCCAATAATGCAAATGACCACACACACAATAACTGTAGAGGAAATGAGTCAGTGTACAAGAGGGAGTCGCTACCAGTTCTTGCTTATTGAAACCCAAGGTCTCCAATGTCCATCAACTTGGTGAATCATGCTCCCTCTCTTTCTGAAGAAATTAATACTGTAAATATGGATTATAGTGGGACCATTAGACAGAATGGGGCAAGTCAGATGGTAAAAATGTAAGAAATAGAAATAGGCCCATAGGAATAAGATCATAGTGATCTCCGACAATTCGCATTATAGCTGCTATTTGTTTCAGAGGAAATAAAGACCACCTAGCGGAGAGCTGCATAAAAACAACTAGAGAAAGTGAGGCAGAAAAATCTTAAAAGATAAAGAAGCTGTAAACCATTGAGGAAAGAACATTATATTGGGGTCTGGAGCTGGGTGTACTATTTCTGATAGACCACAGCTCAGGATACAATCCTCAATAAATTGCATATCTCAATGTCCTTATCTGTGAGTGCAAGCATTGGACCAAATAAATCTCTCGCTACCTTCTGTGTAGAATGAAGCAAGTAAGTCCTTGGACGATATCATTGCTTTGCTCCACCTGACATGCCACCATGTCCCTCTGGCTTATGTTTGCAGCATGTGTTTAGGCTTCAAGGGAAGGATAAATGTTGATTTAAGGTCATGTAATCTGAATCAGTTACTCAAGTAATGTATTCTTCTAGGAGGTCTTCTGCAACTTTAGTTAGTACAACTTAGCTTATTCATGTCTTAGGCTTCTTTCTAAGTCACAGATGTGTGAATATATAAGCTCCACTCTGCTCCTTTGGAATAAATCACCTGTTCAAAACAAGGAATTTTGGTAATTCTTTCTTCCTGTATGTGGCAAGTATAAATCACATGACGGGGCAAGAAAAAGGATGGTTATATGGTGTTAGGAGTTGAAGCAACATGTTAGAGGGGGAAGGGGGAAATCTTTACAAAACAACAGTTTGATAGTGCAGAGTATAACACAAGGGATGTTGTATACCTCTCTAGCTGAAACAATTTTTTAGGTTGAAAGATTTTAAGAGTGGGGAACACATATGTAGCACGGCTTTGAATTAAGGATTAAGAACTAAAGAATCTATATATACTTAATTAACTCCTATCCTGAAGAGCCACCATAGTATACAAATAAAATGAACAACGTGGGTCATACACCACCTATTGAGCAGAAGTGTTTCCAAATGACCCTGGGAGCTACTCTGGATTACCTGGGCAATGAGCACTAGGGTGCAAGATCCTCTTTCTCCCAGTAGAAAAAGTACAATCTAAAAGCAGTTTCATATAGGACTAAGACTTTTGATACTCTCAAGAGCCATTTCCTCCTCAGAATTAAAGAAGCTGGCTTTTGCACACAATTCTAGTAAACAGCTGGCATTCCAAATCCAGACTGCTTGACAATAAATATTCTTTATTCCTTTATACTCGCTATAATAATAGAAAATGGAAAGTCAAAAAGGGGGAAGGCTACTTCCTCTGAAAAAACACCCACATTGTATCTAGCAGATGTTTGGACTGTATCTGTCTAGGTTCTCCAGAAAACATACACTAAGACCCAGTTACAAGTGCAAGAAATTTGTTGGGGATGTGTCTGCTATGGTTTATGTCTAACCCTGCACCCACAGCTTCATGTGTTTAGAAGTGCAGCTTTTGAAAAGTGATTGAATTATGAAGGTGCTGTACTCATCAGGGTATTAATCCATTGATGGCTATTAATCCACAGTCAGCTACTGTGCTGTTAGGAGGTGGGGCTTGCCCTGAAAGGGTATATTACTGTCTCTAGCTCCCCCTGTATCTAGCTCCCCCTGTCTCTCTGGTTCTTGGCTCTTACAGAGTGAGCAGTTGTCCTCTGCAGTGCTCTTCCACCTTGCAGTTTCTGCATTGGAGCCAGCTAACCACGGACCAAGTCCAGAGGGAACTGTAAGCCAAATAAACTTTTCAGCCTTTAAGTTGTGGATGTTAAATATTGTATTTTGTTCCAGTGATAATAAAGTGACCAATACAATATCTGTGAAAAATAAGGGGAGACGAGGAAGAGGAGGAAGAGAAAGAGTTCAGACCACCCTGTGGCTATAACCCCTGTGTCAAGAGAGAAGAAGGGAAGGCAGATTTAGAAGAAGAAGCTCCAATTCTGCTGTCATTCTGAGATAGTATTGGCCAGTTCAATGTGGAAGGGTCAACATAAGAATGTTCACAGAGCAGTTCCATATTGGGCAAAAATGGACAAGCCCTCAGACCCATATGATACTCAGTGAGTGGCTAGAAGATGCTGGAGGAGAGTTTGCCTTAATCATTGTAGATCCTCAAGGCCCTATCAGCCTGCTACCTATACTCTTGCGGCAGGTCTCTCTTGAGGTGAGATCTAAAAGACAAACCCATGGGGTGCTTCCCTGATGCTGGTAAACCTTTCAGTGTAACATTGAAAGACTTAAGTACAATAGGCACTTCCATATTACTAATATTGCTCTTGTGAGTTTTCCTTTTCCTTAATAAAATCTATTCCTTAACCTTCACTATGAGATCTTGTAGAATTCTGTGCTTATGAAATTTCGTGCATGAATGGGTTCATATATTTAAAATAGCTTTTTATCTCCTTGTGTCACCTAACCACCTGCCCATTATTCTTTTCTTCATGTAGAGTGATCTTAGTTTCTCTGCAAGTTTCTTAGCATCCTCCAGCCTTCTGAGAATGGATTGTTTAGTAATTCATCTGACTGACTCTTTTAACTTAAATATTCCCTGTATAATTTAGGCAATGCTTGAAATTTAACATTGGAAACTAAGTCAAGAATAAAATGACCCATAAGAAAATTCAATTAAAAGCATATATCTGAAAATTAACTAAAATAAAGATGGCAATTAATGATAATATGTTACAAATTGATAATAAAGCAAAATAAATTGGAATAAAATACAAAATATATTCATAAATAACTAACAAAGGCTACAACCCCAAATGGCTGACAAATACGCAATAATATACCCAAATTCAAGTAGTCAGGAGGAAAAAAATAAGAGACATTCTTTCAGACCCATTAGACTGAGAAAATTACTAAAAGAATAATGGTAATTTAGAGTGGGAACCTGAATAACGTTTTTATCTATGCTTTTATGATGCAAAATGGAGTATTAACATGTTTTCTGAACATGCAGTCTGGAAATATCAATTTAAATAAAAATTA